AAACTAATTAAACATACTTTCATATGGATACAAAAGTAAGCTCAGCAGTAATTAAACAATATTAAATTAATAAGGGCGGCCAAGAACCCAGGAACGGCCCTGTACACACATACCGATTGCGCGCGATGGGTATTACGGGGGGTGCGGAATGGGGATACCGGAAGTTACGTTTGACAAACCGCATGTAAGCGGAGAGGACGGATACAGTGGCGAATCCGTGTAATTTTATGTTTGCGCTTGTTGAACCGTTATCTCGTATCTGCGGTGGTTCTAAGCAGGCACGCGAAGCGGTCGCTTCAATCGCGGGATCACCAGTCGATTTAGTTAATTCCATGGTGTATTGTACGCCGGACATCTGGGGCATCTCGCACGCAATAATTTACCAACTAATGGTATTGTTGAATTTACAGTAGGATGGTAATTAAAATTCAACTTTAAAAATATTGCCCGGGCACCTTACCATTTTATTCTCTACAGGGTGTAACAAAAATGTTGTAGGACTTGAAAATGGGAGACTCGTGAGGTGATTTGAAATAAGTTTTTACTGACTAAAATGTTATCCGGGGCTTTGTTAATGAGATATTAATGAAAAACCCCGACCAATCAGAGCGCGAGTCTACTTGCCGAGTTCTTGCGGTAGCGTTGGCTACCAATCGCAGCGCGTAGCTGCGAACAGGTTAATCGGTTGACTTGTAATTTGTAGAATCTATTTATTTTATTAAGAAAGTTGTTACTATTGGCAACAGAATTTATTAGCACTGGTGGTTTTTGTTGCTTGTGACTTGTAAAATTTCATGAATAATATTCATTGAATTGTGCAAGAGGGGCCTGGTCCGGATTACATAATTATTATTCTCACGGCATCATTTCAGTTAACCCGTAATTGAATATGTGAGAATCTTACACGCAAACGTTATGTAGCGCCAGTGGGATTAAGTACTTTTTTTAAACTGTTACGTATGGAAAATAAGTTTCCTTTTTCAATCGTATTCGAGAGCCCCAGACCGTTACGTTAACGTGAGTCTACTGCATATACATAAACTCAGTTTAATATTATTGTATAATAATATTACTCTGATTTAATATTATTTAATTACTGCTGTGTTTACTTTTATGTCTACATAAAAGTATGTTTAATTAGTTTTGATCTAAGCATCATATGGTACAAAAGTATTTGTAAGTTATTTTAATCTATATACATAGTTTTTTAATAGTTATGCAAAAGATATATTTTCTAAATACTATTTTCATAAAATGAAGCATAGATCCTTAAAAAGAATGGTTTCATTTAAGATAAATATTTTATTCTACATATAACTACAATACTAACGTATAGTTTTTGTAATAAGGATATTCTAGTTGATAATATCGAGTTTTAATAAATTATACGAATTTAATCTAATAAATGTGGCTAAATATCATATGCTTTTTTGGGTTATATATAAACAGAGCTCATTCTTGTATACGAGTAGTGTCCGGAAGATTACATATTATATTAATTCGATTGAATTCTGTTTGTTTAAAATTTTGAGAATCATCAAAAAAGTTTTGATTGTTATTCTCATTAGTCGAAATTTTAAATATAATAAATGGTTTGCGGCCGCCCCTGGGTCTGGCCGCCCAGATGCGGGGGCACCTTTTGCACCCCCGCCAGGTACGGCCCTGCATAAACTACTACTACTGGCAGTCGTACGATATAAAATCGTATGAAATAAATGTTTGTTGTACAGTAAGTTCGACGAACAACAAATTGGATAGTGCACGTGCGTGGCCGTTCAACGTTCAGTTGAAACGATTTTTTATACGATCCCAGCAACGAAATAAAAGCTTTGACTTCGTCGATCAAGTGTACTGCACTTTGATACGATTCGTTGTAACATAGATTGTTACGATCGCGTTACGATTCGTGGACAAAACAGCGCAGGGATAGGTCGCCATGGGCGTAGCCAGGTTATCATTCAGGGGGGGGGGGGCAAAAATATTAACACATCGACTGCCACAGTGGGAAAGGCTGTACGTAGCCAGACACACTTTATTTTGTTTTTAAAGTCATAAATCGTTAAAAATCTATGCGTTTTGTGAATAGAGGCTGTTGGTCGTGTTTCGAATTATACTGCAATATTAAAAATTATAATTTTTGTCTTGTAGGGTGGGGCAAAAGCCACTTTTTTCCGTCCAGGGGGACTGAACGGAACATGCTACGCCCATGCAGGTCGCTACGATTTAACCGTCGTGATCGATATACGACGAGCGGTACAATGAATTCTACGAACTGTGGGGCCTTTTTATGGGGTAGTTTTTATGTGAGAGAACATTGCACGATGCTTGCATACAAGTGTTTTCGAAAGGTAAACCTATACGTGCCTGCGTTCTTCACAGAAATTTGATACCGAAATGTTTTGCAGCTTCTGCATTGGTGTCCCTTTTACTATTCTACAAGCACCATATGAAACATTTATTTTTATTAACAACGAGGAATGCAATTTCATAAATATAAGACTTATGGACTTGATGATTATTTACATTATTTGTATAGTTACGTAACTTGTAAGGGTGATATTTCATTAGGTGTAACAATAAGTAATTCACTGTTCTTCCAATATGCAAACAATACATTTAAAGAGCCCAGGGGAACAACGATCATAGTCCAATCTAAATTGAAATCGAGATTTTAGCATCACGTGTTAAAGCTTAAGAAACGCTGTCGAACTGTAGTATAATAAGGGGAAAAACGGGCCAAATTCAGAAAAAGTAAGGATCAAAAAATCCTGGGTTCGGGGAAGAACAATCAATATCACAATTCTCCAAGGGAAAAATCATTAAAGTCCAACGAGTTATGGTGATTTTGCTATTTCTTGTGTTTTATCACATTTTAATTGTCCATAATAATGAATTTTAGATATATTCTAATCTATATTCATAATAATAGATTTACAAATTAATCCTCTTTTGTCTCTCTATCACCGAACAATATCCTCTTTTCATGCTTTACCCGTTAAGCTTCGAAAGAATTTTTTAAATCTTAAGTAAAGAGCTTACCTATTCCTTTGAATGTGCTACTTTCTAGATTAGGTCGTGTCGGTCTGATTCCTTTTATTTTGTTTTTATATACGAATTTTCCTAACGTAGTAACAACACGTTGGATTAAAAATACATTAAGTGATTGTGTCGGGTGATCAGTGTTAGTGGTCGTGCAGTGAAGCGAGTACGTATTCTGTGGAATAACCAGGACGCACTTGACGTTACAAATCTTAACTTCGGCTGGTGAGGTATACCTGCGATCACCTGCGAACTGGGCCATACCCTGCCATAAACCGTTTGGGCCGTCGATGACCAGGATCGGTACACTGACCTACTGACGCAGGTTTCTACGCTGCAGGTGAATTTCCGTAAGGGTGAGTTCTATTCAGTTTATTGGTCATTATTGTTTTATTAATTTCACCGAACTACAATTACTTCTCGTTTATTCTTTGTTACATTACCTTTTCGTTCACACGTTATTTGAAAAGGAAATTTACAAATTCGTAAAAAGGAATTTACAAAAATGTAAATGTGCATTCGTCTTTTTACGTTAAACATAATTTGCCTACATTTACGTTTCATTCACTAATCTCGTTAAATAACAAAAGACAGATGATAAAAAGTATGATTTTATTTGTTACGTCTTGTTTATTTGCTATTATTATACGCGGTTTCCTGCGATGCATGGTAACCTACTTGTTCGGAGCATCGTAGTACAAGCGTAGCGCGTAGCCACCGCTAGCGCGGGAACTCTGCTGGCAAACTCGCGCTCTGATTGGTCGCGGTTTTTCGTTAATATCTCGTAAACGAAGCCTCAGTTTAAATTTTTGCTAAGGAAAAAGTTGTTCCAATTCACCCCCCGAGTGCCACATTTCCGGGTCGGAAGACATTTTTGGGACACCCTGTATATACTTAGTATGTCCCATAATTAATAATACAATTGAGATAGGAAAGACACGCCGCGTGCAAAATCAAACAGATAATATAAAACTGCGAAGAAAACCAAATTTGAACATTCATTCAGTACACGTAGAGAGAAATAACTTCCAACAAATACATATATCTATAGAAATGCTAATATACACGGTGAGTTAATAAGAACTACTACCTAAAATAACTCGTTACTCAGTGATTCTGTCAGAAAACGTCTTAATGAATTATCTAGCGTTTAAGAAATTCATCAGATGGATACAATTTGTGTTCTTTTATATCTTATCTTTTTTGAGAAATCAAGGTAACCTTGAGTCTTTTCAAGGTTAATGCCTCTTTTTTTGAATACCACGTTGTTTCCAATAGAAGGACGAATTCAACGACATACAGCATGATGGTATTAAAAAATATGCATTGACCTTGAAAATACTCAAGGTCACCTTGATATCTGAAAAAAAATAAGATATAAAAAAATTAAATTCTGTCCATACGATGCATCCCTTAAAACGCTACATAATTCATTAAAACGCTTTCTGATACAATCAATAGGTAACGAGTTATTTTAGATACTAGTTCTTATTGACTCACCTTATACATAAAAAATAACTACTAATTTAATGTTCCCATTGTACTGAATAAATACACTGAATTAAAAGAAGTAAAATATTTTTGAATTATTAATTTCAGCTATTCTGCACTGACAGCCTCTGAGGCTTTTCTTCCTTCTATCCTAATGAATAAACTGCGAATTTTTATGCAAAATAACATTTTGTAACGTAATTTATAAAGACAGGAGCAAAGGTAGAAATCTATTTTTCCTCTTAAGTATCTTATTGGGTTCGAACTAAAATAGAAAAATCATTGGATCCGATGAAAGTTTTGTCTTTCATTGCATTTGACAGAGCCTCATGGGCTATAAATGCATAAAATCCGCAGTCTACTGATGAAGGTTAAATGAGCGAATTTCTATAAATCATTCGCAGTCTTCTTTGTCATTGTAATTCCCAATGAATTTTGGGATTCCCCCCTTGAGATTCCCCTTTACTTACCGTGCATGCGGGAGTACCATCCACCGAAGGGATTCGATCTGAACATATTAGGCCAGCCCCAGGATGGAGCCTCCAGGCTGTCTTCGAGGCTCATGTCAGAAAGATCAAAAGGTATTGGTCTGATGAAACGATCCTTCGACTCCGGCGGTAGTACGAGCAAGGTGCGTGCATTGTCACTTTCGTCGCTGTCTGAGTCACGTGAACCTGAAACAAGAGACAAATTTCTCACATTCAAACAACGCGAATTATGACAAACAAGTGTCTTATATATTACTCATTTTAACGCTGTATAATAGGAGTACGTGCGGATTATCCTAACACGAAGCAACTATTACATTTACAGTGGGTAAAAAAAGTATTCGTACACCCTTTAAAAAACCCTTTTAAACTTTAAGACTCTTTCAAAATTGGACCAACTCACTTGAGTTTCTGTATGAAGTTAGAAGGATTAGTTTACTAAATGATGGGTTAAAAAAACTTTGAATGATTATTATCAAACGTCGTTTGGAGGAAGAAAATATTTCGTTGAAAAATACACGGAGTATACCGTTGCTGGATAAAACGCACATGGAAAAGCGATTGAACTCTGTCAAATTTTTCCTTTTATTCAGATACAAAATGACTAGAACACGAAAGTATGGAAAATGTGAAATCCATCAAAAACCGTATTATTGCATTCCGTACACCATAAAACAAAATATTTTTTTTTTCTTTCTGTTTCTACATTTTCCAATATCCTGAACAATTATTTTTAAATTGTAAATTTCATTTCAATGGTTTTTAGTCGATGGTCCAAATTAGGAAATCAGTTGCCTGAAATGGACCGATGTTATTAGTTTAGTTTTTTAAAGATATTATTTTTAACATACATTTTTTTGAACACGATATAATCTAGATATAATGTTTATCTTTTTTCTGTTTCTATTTGTATCCTGCGATGTTTTAGAAAAATAAAAAAAGTTCTCCAAAATAGGCAACTCCCCCTTAATTAAAGATGAACGACAAGGTCTGAGGTTCCATGATACCAACTATTTACACCGTTTCGTGAATCGATAGAAAAGAAACTAAAGCACCGAGTGCAATCTTATAATTATTCTTGCTCACTGTTGTGCTGTACGCGCCGCCCGATCCTTTCAAACGCCACACGGCACTTAGTGCTTTACAAGGAATTTGCTCGAGTGATTTATCGTCGAGCCCTTTTAGTGCCACGCCACTGAATCTGCTACCGAGTTCACTGTCAAACAGCAAATGCAGGATTTCGTGATTCGGTGCGGAGGGAGCTGACATGCACGAACAAATATCGGTAATCGATAATCACGTCGGCGAAGATTTGAGGGGAAAAAAAGGGAAGAAAACTGTGTGACCGCGTAAGGTCTCATTTGCAACGTGTCGAACGATTAACGTGTACTTAAGGGGTTACATACTTTTGATGAAGTAAAAACAATCGATTTTACAAAAATTGTTAATTCTATTTATATGATTCTTTTTGGCATTGTAAGTCAAAAAAAGAAATAATTTACTTGGAATATTTATCGGCATCTACTAGTAAATGGCTATTGAAACTTTAACAACGTTTTAAGCGAAATGGAGTTTTCAAAATCGATACCAGAAGTATTAAAAGACTACTGAATCAATTTGGATCAAACTTTATGGTAATATTTTTAAGACCAAAAAATCTAGTCTTGACGAAGCGAATTTTTGATTCGTGTATTTTTGACAGTGACATTTTATCAAATGATTCCTGAAGACAAGAGTCAAAGTAGGAATTTCTTTCCTCTCTAAGGTACCTTATTGAGTTAAGAATAAAATGGAAAATTCTTTTTTTTTTTTCAATAATAAAATTTCGTCGAAAAAAATCATAGTATTACAAAAACTGGCAACGTAGGATAGCTTGGAAAAATCGAAGAAAAACACTGTCAGTGAAGAATACTTGTCAGATCCTCGTAGAGAGTTTCCCCGAATGCTTCTGGCGATTATCCAATTTGTTGTCGTCAATTCATATTGACGCACAGGAAACGTGGGAGTCAATTTGAGTCGATCTAATTTCTGGCTCCATCCGCGGCCTTTCTACGCGGGAAAAACGTGCCACGGTCTAACGTGGTTCGAAGAAATCCGCAGATCCTGCTTTTCACGATGAAATATCCTCGAGACTGCTGCCACAAAATTGAAATGTTTTGACAGACGACGACAAGATACTGCGTCTTATTGAATTCCGCCCAAATAGGTTTGCTCTTGCGCTCGGTACGGATTTTAACGTATATCGTCGTCATCGCTGTGCAGATTTACATTTTTAATTCAGACGAACTTTGCAACGTGTCGTTAAACTATTTGTTTAATTTACGCGGAATGCAAACGTCACTCTTTGCTGTTTCGGGTATCTCGAAACAGAATGGAACAATTTCTGTTTAAAGCCCGGTAAATTCTGCATCGTGGACTAATTAAACCACTATTAGCCCAAATAGTTTCGATTCCTGGAAATGAGGGTTCCTGGGATCATTTGAAACAACTTTTTCCTTAGCGAAAATGTTGTCTGAGCCTTCGTTAACGAGATATTAACGAAAAACCCCGACCAATCAGAGCGCGACTAGCGTTGGCTACGCTTTGCGATTGGTAGCCAACGCTACCGCGGGAACTCGACTTTGATTGGTCGGGGTTTTTCCTTAATATCTCGTTAATAAAGCCTCGGATAACATTTCTGCTAAGGAAAAAGTTGTTTTAAATCATCCCAGGAACCCTTCACTTTCCGGAAATCGATGCTATTTTGGGACACCCTGCATACAGGGTAAGTTGGTTCTTGGCAGTTAAAACCTGTCCCCACCACCGTCCGCCGTTACCATGGAATGACAGAGACAAGAGTCTGGACTTCTTTGTTCCTACGAAGGCACAATGTTGTACCTCCACCTTCATGTACAGATTCCTCTCGATTATCGTCTGGCTTCTTCTACACGATTATTGTCCAAGCGTTATCACCATCATTGGAGGGAGGGTGCTGTGGAAGCTGTCAAGTGCATACTTTGTTGCCCCTCCGCTTTCGTTGCCGAGGGGCTTCGAGCAAAGAACGAATTTACGAGAGTTTGAAGCATTTCTCTCTATACGATTATTGTCCCCTCGCGAATCCGAGTTCGGGACAATAATCGAGAGGAGTCTGTACCTGTCGTTCTCTAGTTCCTTGAGAGTCAGTTCTTATTTAAAAAGACATTCCGAGTTTCAGTTAAATAATCTACGATTTTATAGTTCGTTCGGCGATCTTGGAGCCAGTAAATCTCTCGCTGTCTACCCGAAATATTTCAACCGCCGCGCGATGCACGTCCAATGGTAGTTGGAACATTTTGTATCGTATCGGCTTCTCCCTCTTACGCTTTTCTCACACCGTTTCTTCGTACACACAACCACACACAAACATTCTTTGCACACGCGGCCGTTCCCCTGAGAAATTTGAACGGGATCGATTTATCGGACGTGAGTGTTTTTTTTTTATTCCTTCTATTTTCCTCCTCCACGCTTTCTCAAGTGGCATTAGGAAGGTTTAATGCGATGCCTGGCAAAAAGGGAAACAGGGTGTAGGAGCTAGGGCGGGTAGGTGCCGAGTGCCATTGACTGCAGAATAAAATAGACGGTGGCATTTCTACCCGCGCGGCCTCAGCCTTGGCAAAATTCCATTTCTTTTCCATGAGGTCCGTGGCCCTGAGCAAAAACTGATATTTCCCTACCCCCGTTCAACACCACCACCCCTTGCATTTTTTTTTCTTCCCAGAGACCGCATCGACGAGTTTTGGCATACGTATATTTGCTGGGACGCCGTTTGAATTGCTCCGTATTCGTGCTTTTGCCCCTACCTCCCCTCCCCCGCCCCAGCGTAACACAGGACTGAATAAAAAATAACGCGAATCACCCGCGTACTGCACCTAATGTCTCTAGATCGACGATTTTTGCGGTATTTTGTATTTCAGGAGCCGCTCGAGGTCCTTGGTGAGGTGGCTTTATATTTTGCATACGGTGGCACTGTGGAGCCTTGAAAAATTGTCATTTTTTGGGTATTTTTCGTTCAATGAACGAAATGTTCGACATGAATGAAGTGTTGTCTGTTTATTAACCCTCTATGGGCCGAATTTTGTTTAGGACTATACATTTAAAATACAGATTAATAATGAACCCAACATGTTTTTTTCAGCAATTTTTTGTTTTATAATGTTATTGATTAGTAAGAAGGTATTATATAACAAGATGTATACGCCATCTTGAAAGTTACACGGGCCCATAGAGGGTTAATATGGTTTTTGAGAGTATAAACAAAATGTTTCTTTGAAACTTTCAATAGTTTTTTTTTTATATAGATATAGTGATCTCTCGATGAGTGCGACAGGAGACAAATCGTAGTGACATAATCGAAGTGAGCGCCTTGAAAAAATTATGCAGTACTAATGTAGGTGATTTTGGGAGAACGAATCAAATCTGATTTTGTCGGAAACAAACTTCAGTGAAGAAAACTTTTATTGTACATTTTCGATTTGTTTCCGCGTGTAAAATCGTTTTTTCGTATTTTGACGTGTAATTTTTCAGTTTCAGCCAACATTCTTACGTCAATACAATTTATAAATAATATTATACCACACTTTGTCTTGTCATGAAATAGAGTTTTGAAAGCCATAGAGGTCTAACAACGTAGTTTTGTCGCATCAATCTTATGAACTGGAACTTCTGAAACTTAGGTCATTTTACTTATTTGAAAAAAAAAAGCTGATTCCATGAACCAGTTTCATCTAACCTCACGAGACTGGCGTACCCACAACTACGAGACTACTCATAATAAAGAGAACACTACCACTTTTATTAAAAGTATTTACATTATATCTACTTACAGAGAAACACTTCCACTTTTATTAAAATCTAATCAATATAGAAAAGTTTTCCAATTTTTTTTTCATTTTGCGTGTTATCGCAGCAAGCTGCCGAATTAGTAAAAAAATAATCAACATGAATCCGTGTTACTGAACCTCGTCTCATTTTGAATTTTCCGTCATATCAATTTTCAAAAAACTTTGGGTATCGATTTAGTTAAAAAAAATTTACATATGGAACAGATTTCATTTTTTGGTGCTTTGAGTTGTATGTAAAAGCAGTAGATTTTATGTAATAATTCATTAATTTCTAAAACATCAGTGACATATATAATATTGAGATGCCTTCAGGTAATTAGAATTGCA